TATCTTGAGGGTTATTATAAATTATTGCAGGTGTTTTTAATATTATTTTATCATTATATTTTCATTCTGTAACAACGGTTTATACCAATCTTCACATTTTTCATCACATTCTTGATATATATAATTATAATTTAAAACTATCATATATCCATGAGTTTCTGAATCTTTTGTAATTCCACAAAATATAACTGATGCCTTTTTACCATTCATTTTCAAGAGAATCACGATCTAAATAACATATTTTTTAAATTATAGTATAAAATTTTCTTATTATTAATTATATTATTTTACCTCATTTAAAAAATCTTCATTTATATCAACAATACCATCAAACTCATTAAACTTCACTTTACGACCATCTAATGTAATAATATCCCCTTTAGGAATCTTTTTTGAAAGATCGCCATTTAATTTAAAATCAAACTGTTCTAGTTCGTCATATAAGTCATTTAGGTTGCTAACGTAATCTTCGTTATTGGTGATATGAGAAAAATGAAGAAGTTTATTTGATTGTGAATCTTCGTTATAAATAAAGAATTATATTTGACTGAGTATCTTGTCATGAGTAGAAAAAAAATTATAGAAGGAAGCATATTTATTTGTGAATTGAAGAAATGAGTAGGTAAAAGAAATGGGAATAAAATCTTTTTATTTAGTTCAAAGTTCAATATCTTCATTATCAATAGATGTGAGAGAAATATAGGATAGCTTATTTGGCTGAGAATTAACGGTAAGAGAAGTCTTTTTATGAATACCTTCGTTATTAGTAGATATAAGAGAAAAAGAAAGAAGCTTACTAAACAGTAGAGGAAGAGTTATTTTATTTGATTGAAAATCTTCGTCGTGAATATAAAAAAGAGGAATCATATTTGGTTGAGCATTTTTGATTACTATTTTTGCTTCAGTTATTACTACTGCATTTATTATCTTATATAATTTTGTTTTTAAACTCATTATCAAATTTTCTTGGTAGAATGAAAAAATAATAACAATGCAAATAGAGCATTATATTACTAATACTTATGGAATTCATCAGTTCTAGAATGTTACAGCTCAAGCGTTTGCATGGAAAATTTCAAATAACATAAAAAAAATTGAAGAAGGAAATTTTATATCTAAAACTGTAAATTCTTATACTAACACAGGAATATGCGAACAAACTGCTCCAAAAATTGAAGCTCTACCAGAAAAAGAACAGATTATTTTTATTTTCGATAGACTTGGAAACAAACAGTTTAAGATATGTCTTAAAATGAAAAAGGAAGATTTAGAGAGACTCAACAACACAAGTATATTTGGAGACAATATTTTAAATAGGAAGGAGCTAAAAATACCTGCCATAATTATTTTCAAAAGTTGCAATTAGTTACAATTCAATACCTAGTTGCAATTATTTGCCGTAATACCGTAATTGTGCCGTAATGCCATAATTATGCCGTAATGTCGTAATTATGTCGCAATGCCGTAATTATGTCACAATGCTGTAATTATGTTGTAATAATCTATAATTAATTTCAATATTTTTGTCATGTGTAAAAAATCTTAATTTTTAATATGTATAACACTTAGAAA